TACTCTGCTTTTGAAATTGATTTTGTATTTTTTTTAACCATGTAATTGGGTCTTTCAACTAGTTAGACAAAGCAGGACCCAATGATTACATCTGCAGTATTTAAATTAATCTGACTTATAATTAAGAAAGCATAGAATAGCTTGTATAATTTGAAATTAATTTATTTCATTGCAAGCATCTCTGTTGGGTGCTTTAAGCTGCATTACTGCTAATAAGTACATGCGAGGCAAACTTCTAAGCTTTAGGATTGTATTGGGCATTGGAAAAAATTGTTGAAATTAAGAGTGGTCTTTTTAAAAAATTTGTACTGTCCAATTTCATTTTCCTTGGAGATAAAAGAGTGTACCTCTGATGTAGGGCAAGTGTGGGAACATTCTCCTACTATTAATCCTAACTTAATATATGGAATCAGCAAAAGCCACTAGTTTTAACTTTAAGGGCTAAAATTAATATTTTTTGTGGCTAAAATGGTGTTACAAATATGTAGCCTTTTATGGTTTGTCTGGGGTAACATAAGGCTAGGGCTGTGTTACCATAAACCACTAATACCCTAGCGAATTACATATTGGTATGCACGTTTCGAAACATGGTACACTTCCGTTCCAAAACAATAAATTTAGTGATTCAAAATGATCCCAAATGCTTCTTCCAATATATTTCTTTAAATGTTTTCTTAGGAGGGAAAAACATCAAATATAATGAATTGAAATTTAAGGCGAGTCAAGTTTTGATAAGACAAAATATAAATTAAAAAAAAAAAGTGTTATAATGCTCATATAAATGTTTTGCTACATGAAAAGAAAAAAAAAAACCCTATATTTTATTGGATGCCTAATAATTAAAAGGAAATTACTCTAGAAGTACCTTAAATTTTTAAGTGTAATATATATGAGTCTACCTCTATCGTATCACATTTAGAGCATGTGACATACCACAATCCCTTTCCCGTTCCACGTACCTGAACGATCCACATTCCAGGTAACATAGGCTAGGGTTGTGGAGTAAAAGGAAAAGATTTGAGATGTTAAAGGGCTTGTTCTGAGTGTTGTGAACAGTTCAAGAAAACATTAATTAGGGAATAGTTTAGTTTATTTTTATATCTTGTGGTTGAATAATTTGCCATTTTTCTTACCAAAAACCGGCGGTTAATAATGAATTTGCCTTGGCGGTGCGGTTCGGTGCGGTTTTGGCGGTTTCGGCGGTATTATGCACACCCCTAGTCTGGGGTAACATAAGGCTGGGGCTGTGTTACCATAAACCACTAATACCCTAGCGAATTACATATTGGTATGCACGTTTCGAAACATGGTACACTTCCATTCCAAAACAATAAATTTAGTGATTCAAAATGATCCCAAATGCTTTTTCCAATATATTTCTTTAAATGTTTTCTTAGGAGGGAAAAACATCAATTATAATGAATTGAAATTTAAGGCGAGTCAAGTTTTGATAAGACAAAATATAAATTTAAAAAAAAAAGTGTTATAATGCTCATATAAATGTTTTGCTACATGAAAAGAAAAAAAAAAAAAAACCTATATTTTATTGGATGCCTAATAATTAAAAGGAAATTACTCTAGAAGTACCTTAAATTTTTAAGTGTAATATATATAAGTCTACCTCTATCGTATCACATTTAGAGCATGTGACATACCACAATCCCTTTCCCGTTCCACGTACCTGAACGATCCACATTCCGGGTAACATAGGCTAGGGTTGTGGAGTAAAAGGAAAAGGTTTGAGATGTTAAAGGGCTTGTTCTGAGTGTTGTGAACAGTTCAAGAAAACATTAATTAGGGAATAGTTTAGTTTATTTTTATATCTTGTGGTTGAATAGTTTAACAATCTATGGTTTTAATTTAAAGAAAAATGGTAGATTAGATCTGCTTGTGAGGTTTAAAGGCTAAAAATAAAGAAATAAGAAGAAAATTTTATGCATCACGATAAGGATTAGAATTGTCTCACATAATTTACAAAAAAGTTTCAAAAGCGCTGAAAATTCTCTGGAACATATCCTCTATTGATTTAGAAGTGATACACAATTTTAATAGAATTAAAAAGGCTTCTTAAATCTAAGAAAACTTGGACATCCTACCTTGGAACTTAAGACTTTTGATTGAAAACTCATCTAAAACATATAGGAAGACCCAATAGCATAACTTAGCATATACTAGGATAATTGGCAATTGCCTACAACCCATGTCTTAAAAGTTATAAAATTACCTACCAAAATACTTAGTCCTATAAAACATGATAAATAATACAACAATGATAGAGAACTCTAATTTTGGAGCTCTGGTGATGTGACAAGAGAAAAAAAAAACAAAAAAACAAAAATATAGGCACACACATCACATCACGTGTGGGCCCCACTCCTTGCCACATCACTACAGCTCTTTTTAGAGCTCCAAAATTAGAGTTCTCAATATTTATTCTAAATAATATAGTAGAAGATTTTTGGAAACAATTCAAGCAAATTTGTATTTAGTTCAAAGTGAATTGTAGTGGTTGTGCTTTTGTGCGTAACATTTCTGGGCTAATCTGTCGTGGGATGCAAATTGAGGTGTAGCTTGCCATCTGGTTGTCCACAGGCATCCAACATCCTTGATGATCTGGCTATTGGAGGTCTCAGCGTGAATTATGATGTTCATAAAATGCTTCCAACCCAAAACATACAAATTTTTTTATGTATGTAATTAATGGTACTATTACAATGTCATAACACTAATCTAATATTTAAGGCAAGAATAAAAAACATCTTGTATGAATTAGACTGCAGTAGCGAGTTGATTGAAGTTGAAGACATTAGAGGGAGAAGAGTAAGCCTAAAGGAACGTGCTTGCAGCTCATGTAACACCCCAGCAGGTTGAATGTTAAAATCCAGTGGCCATTAAAATCTGTTTTTTGCTTGCAAACATTGTGGATACATTGGCAGGGGGTTTGGAGTAAATCCTTATTAAGGCCAGAAGATATTCCAATCCAAATGCTGCTTTCAGCTGTAAATTTGGAGACAAACTTCTCAGCAGACCGTGGTGGGGTCTTCTTCCTGTGAGAACGGTAATGTATCTGAATCTATCTTAAGTCGAATTATCATGCTTTTTGAGTGGTGTTAGACTATTTTCTTGGAGCTTGATGTGATCATATTTATTATGTCATCATCTAAATCGGCGTCTGGAGGTGATTTGTTCACTGTTGGCACTTTGTGACCCTTTAGCAATTCACCTTACTTTTTTAAAAAGGGAAAATAAAATAAAATTAAATTAGTCAATCTAGTACAACAGAGTGGAATATCATTATCTTGAGTTTTCTTTTCAATTATCATCTTAAGAGGTTGAGGGGATGTTGCTCTTCACAGCAATTCTCTTTCAAGGTGATATAGTTCTCTTACAGTGAGATCCATATTGTTGTGTTTTCAATGAGCCTATCCAACCTGCAAAGAGTTTTTGCGGTTAGTCTGATACATTCTCTCCTTCAACCTGGTTGGATCCAATTAAATTTTGAAGTAGCAATCAGATTTGACAGGCAGTGTCATGCTATTCTGATTTTGGGCAAATTATATATATATATATTTTACTAGATTGTTAAGTCTTTTCTGATCTATACTGTATCCCATTCTGTTGATGATTCTGAAGTCAGCTTTAGCTCATTTCACTCATGGAGGGAATGAACTAGAAAGACGGAAAAAATGATTCGTCATGTTTGATGGAATATAAGAAAGAGACAATGTCCGGCTCTGGTGCCACCGCTAACAGCAACATGGTAGTTGTAGTGTTAATTATTACTGGCAAATGCTGTGCATAGTGGAATCATATTCATGATAAGCTATTTTACCGTCTCTCCTCCAGCTAGCATTTTAATTTTTGTGTTCCCTATTTTTCCCCAGACAAATGAATTGACTACTCGCGCGCGCACACATAATTTTCTAGATTTTTATCTGCCTGCCTAGAATGTCGTTTCTCTACTAAAAAGAATCTTTTGCAAAGCCTCTTTTAGTTATCATCCATATTGTTCTTTTCTTCTGCTAAAGATTTACAATTGCTTTTAGGGTGTGTGAAGTTACTAATTGATGCCTTCTCAATAGCATACATTTTGTAGCATTGGTATTTGAACCGACAAATTATGCCAAATCGACCATGTGTTGGGGTTGCCTTGGATTTGTGAGTCCCATCACACGCTCGTCTTTGGTGAATTTATCCGTCTATAATTATGTCTATGTTTTTGTACAATGCTATTCGCATTTCTCATTTTTAATCAATCATACACATACACTAATTTGTTGTCTTATTAAGATTACAAAACAATTGTATCCTTCTCATTTTTGTATTTGGAAACTAGCAAGGACATTAATCTTTAGAAACTTCTATACAAATAATTTTTTGTAAGAATTTTTTCTTACAAACTCACAAGGCGTACAATAGCAAATTATTAATATTTGAAATAGACTTATTAAAATTAAATTAAATGATATGGACAACTCAATTGGCACATCAGTTTGTATAAAAAAAAAATTTAATTTGTATTTCATTACTTCTATTATTTTCGCTTCTAATATAATAAGAAAGGGACAAAGCGCATATATATATATATATATATATTGTGATTTTGAATGGTTTAATAAATTAATAAGATGAGTTATGAATTTGAAACCAGTTTAGAGTAATTTGAAAATGATTTAGAGTGGCTGTTGGATGTGAAATTTACAATCAACAATTTGGGATGCATTTTTGAAAACGAAAGTGTGATGAAGCATCGTCTTTTGTGTAAAGAACGAGAGTGTGAAAAGTTTGAAGAAAATACAGCCAACATTATACAATTTTGACAAAATTATATTAGCCTAGGTTAAAGAAGCGAGAATTAATGTAGACGATTAAAATATACAAAAATAAATATACATTTCAATATAAAATAAATAGCATTATTTTTTTTTTTATCAGGGCTAATAAATTAATTATGTAAAGGAATTTATTAGTTGCGCGAATTAAAATTTTAAGGAGTTCAATATAAAAATATAATATTTATGAAATTTATTTGCCTTGTTTGGTTTGTTTTGAGATATTATTTCAAAAATAATTTTTTGGAAAGAGTTTATAAAATTTAAAATTTTGGGTTTGTTTGGGAATTTTTTTATTTTTTTTTAACCTGATTTTATGGCTTTTTGGCTAATTTAGGCTAGCTAAATTAGCTTCATTTGAGAATAATTTTTTAACTTTTTTGTGAGAGAAAAAATGAAATGATTATGGTTTGAATGTGACATTTTATTTTATTAACTTATTTAGCCTATTTTATCTTTTTGTATTTTTTTAATCTCAACCTAAATCGACTCATTTGCCAAAAGATGACTTTGTTTGATTGGTGTTTTTGAAAGTCGGTAAAAAATTAACTTTTTGATTTTTTTGGATAGTTTTTTTGGCTTTTGTGTAAAAAAGTAGAGTGCTGATGTGACCTAAAAAAGTCAAAAAATTAAAAAAATTATTTATTACCAACTTGCCAAAACGGCTATGTTTTATATTTTGAAAATAGTTTTTGAGTTTTGAAATTTGAGATGATTTGATACTTTTTTTATAGTTGAATATATGAGTGTGAGAAAAAAAGTGATTGAGAAAGAGAGAAGAGAGAGAAAAAATGATTGATTGATGAGTAGTAGAGAAAAAAATAGTTTTGAAACTTTTAACCATATTTTTGAGAGATAAACCAAGCATGGCGATTGCATATTTTTTTCAAATCCCAAAAGAGTTTAATGTAATTTAAAAAAATATATATAAAAAAAAAAAAGAAGAAGAAGAGGAAACTACATGTAAGTGGGAAAAATAAAAAATAAAAAAAATTACTAACACATAAAATATATAAGTGTATATGTAATAAAATGAAAATAAAACATGTGTTGTAATTTTTTTTCTACTTCTTCTAACGGCATGTAATTCTCAAAAAATAAATAAATAATGAGCAATGTTAGGAATCATAAAAATGATCATAAAAAATTTTACCCTTTTAAATTACACTCATAATAAAATATCATACGCTAATCAAAAAATAAAAAATCTTTAAAATATTATTTTTCGCCATACCTGACATCATTTATAAATAATAAGCCCAGGCCCCATATGGAGACCAAACAAATAGTGGAAGATCGGTGGGGTAATGGGCCTAATGGTTTTTGCGGTTTGACCCTGTACTGAGTCAACTCATTCGTTTTGGGGAATTTATTAATCATGTGTCAGTTTGTCTGAACAGCAACGCCATTAAGCAAACCATAATCAATTCCTTCGCACGTAAGGCGAAACCGAAACTCCTCCGTGTCCCACACGCGCCCCCACCTCTTCTCACTCTCTCTCTCTTCATCCTCAAATCTCAATCTTCCTCCATCAATTGGTTCGTTCCTGATCTGGTATAGCTCTTTGGATTTCTCAAGATTCGTTCAATCGAATAGAGGTTCATTTTTCGTCTGATTTACCAAGGTACTGCTGACAGATCTCCATTCAAACCCTACCCACTGGGCTGCAACCAGTGCTCGGATTTGAACAGAGTTGTTTTTGTGTTTTTGTCTTTGTTTTTGTTTTGTGGAATGGAAATTTGATTTCCTTCGATTTGATCCGTTTTGTTTTGCTATGCAGTTCACTCGTTGGAATTTTAGCAATTCGTATCTGAATCAAAATGGTTTCCTTCGAAATGAATGACCGCAAAAGTGAGTGACTCATCAACACATGTATTTATTTGTGTGTGTGCGTTTGCTTCTTATGATTCAATTTTCATTATACTCTCTATGTTGATAACACAAGAAATGAAAGTGCCTCTAAATCGTTTCTGGCCAGTGAGTGAGTTTGCCTAATCTAGTACTTGCTCAGTGACTCTGTAAAAATTTCTTTATCAGTGCCTCACTTTCATTCACTGTATTTCTAAGGCATTGGCCAATGTTCATTCTGAAATGAATGCTTTGAAATTTTCTTCAATCACCTACAAGTAGATTTGATCCATCTTTTGTGGATTGGTTTGGGCCAGTGCCAATGATCTTCTTATAAATCCAATTTCCAAATAATTGTATATCATTTTGCATACATCATCCTATAGGACTTCTTTCGTAGGATTCAGTATTTAGAGTTGTGATGAGGTATGCCAAGGCATTGGTGAAGTTATTTTTCATGCTGACCAAAGATTGTGTAATTTTTTTTTTTTTATGTCTGTGTGTTTTTTTTTTTTTTTTATGTGTGTGTGTGGGGGGGGAAAGTTTGCATAATGTGGTTCCATTCATGGAGTTGTTCTTTAAATTGTGATAAAACATCCCATTCCCGTGTAGATAATATATATATATATATATGTTAGACGTGCATGCTTGTGCAGAAACTATATGGTAAAATAAGGACCTTGTGGTTCCAAGATCACCCCAATTCACACACTGAATGAGTTATCAAGGAATTGAAAATCTTGTTAGATGAAGCTGATGGGTTTCCTCTTGTGGTTTTGCTTTTGATTAAGGAAACAAAATTCTATTTACTTTTGGTTGCTTGTCCTATCTAGAAAATATACCATTGTTAATGTTCTTTTCCCTAATGTTTGTAATGAGATGCATTTGATGTTTATTTTGTTTCTCAATTCATCTTTATATGTAATTCGATCTATTTCAAAATCCGAATCAACTAAAGCATTTGCAACTCTGTGATGAAACAGAGATTGGGATTGGATTGACAGCTTTTGGCATATTTTTCTCATTCTTGGGGATCATTTTCTTTTTTGACAAGGGACTACTTGCCATGGGAAATGTAAGTGAAAGTTTCTCCCTGTATTGTTCAGCTTCTTTGATTATTGTGCCTTTCCATTTATGCTTATTTTATCTTATTGTTGATTTGATGCCTGCTTAACATTGTGTTATTTTGGTGATACTGAATCAGATCCTCTTCTTCTCAGGGGTGACATTAACCATTGGACTGAAGTCCTCAACACAGTTCTTCATGAAACGTAGCAATTTCAAGGTTCCCTCACTCTCTCTCTCTCTCTCTCTCTCTCCCTCTCCATTGAGTGCATATACTGATTTTCCATGTTTATTTACCCTCTGACTTTTGATGATTGTACAGGGAACAATGTCTTTTGGTTCCGGCTTCTTCTTTGTAGTTGTAGGATGGCCTGTATTGGGAATGATTTTGGAGACATATGGGTTCATCGTTCTTTTCAGGTTCATTTAATTTTCCTTACATTATTTCATGTGCTCTGCTCATATTACTTATTTTAGACTGCTGATGGGGTATTTTGTGCAGTGGCTTCTGGCCAACGCTGGCAGTTTTTGTGCAGAAGATACCTATTATAGGTTGGGTGTTCCAACAGCCATTTGTTAGATCGGTATGTTTGTCTTGTAATTCAATTTAGTGTTTTCATGTTCTTCCATAGAAGCCAATTTTATTGACTAGTTCTCTACATAGATGGAGATTCCACCGGTCTTGTAGGAAAAGATAATGTAGTTTCAGTGATTGAAATGAGGTTGGATAGGGCATCTTAGATTTCATGGTAGAATTTGATCTTATGGTAACCAACATTTTCTTTGAAAAGAGAGACATTTTTCAAAAGTTGGTCAGATAAGAGTCAAATAGTTTTTTTGTAAGAAACATAGACCACTTTATATGTAAAGTGCAATGTTAACCTTGAAAAGAGTTTAACATTACAACATAGTTAAAAATACTACATATGTTAAAGGGAAACATTGAACTAGAAAAATATATTAAAAACTCTTGAACTAGCTGATGAAATTTAGAAGATGAGAAATTAAAAATGTTTATGGATATAATGTTTAAAGAAGTAACGTAGAGTTTGGAAGATAATACCATAATATGTGAAATACAATGATGGAATGTATTAAAAATATCGATAAAGTTATTGGATAGTCGAATGAAAAAATACCATATCTAAGATACTTGATGGTGGAATGATGAGATACAAACAGTAGCAAAAACAAAAAGGAATGTTTTAAAAAGTGGCAAAAGGATAAAAATGAGAATTTTTTAAAGAGATATAAATTGGTCAATAACAAGGTTAAAAGCATAGTTAATAATGCTAAGTTAAAAGACTTAACAACAATATTTATACTAGATTAGATAGTAAAGATGAAGAAAATAATAGGGTAATTTACAAATACACCCCCTGAGGTTTGATTAAAATACGAATTGCCCCCAGTGGTTCTGGAAATTACATTCCACCTTCCGAGATTTCTAATTTCATTACAAATCACCCCTTTTATTAATAAATCATCAAGTCAATTAACAATTTTAATGATGTTAAGAATATGTTTCAATTAATAATTTAGATAATTTTATTATTGTATAGGAGAGCAATTATGAATTTTATTTTTTAAGTTAATTATGTTAAATAAAAAATTCTAATAAGAAGGTATTTGTAATTTTCTAAACCACATGGAGCACTCTATACTATAAGTAAATCTTAGGGATATATTTGTAATTTACCCAAAATAATATGTATAAACTTGCTTTGTCAAGAGAAAATGGAAGCACGTCATATACACACCAAAGAGAAAAACAATCACACAAATTTACGTGGTTCGGCCTGAATTGCCCACATCCACAGAAGAAAGATTTCACTATATGAATATTATATGAATAAAATAGAGAATATATGTGAGATGGCCAAAGCAATCAAAACCCGCACCACTACCCAAACCCATGCTCAAGGATAGTTGAGGTCTCGCTCACCCCGGTGTCTTCACTGTATTTTTTCTCACCCCTTACATTTCTATTTTTTCCTCCTCTCAATCTCTCTTAGAAAAAACCCTATAGTCTACATGATTATTTATAATAGTCTACCCATGAGAATCCTAGTTCCACACAATCAGGTAACCATATTCTACACATCCTAACCAAAATATATGTATAAACCAACCTAATAACTATATGGACCCACCTTTATCACATTGGTGGACTAATCCTAACAAGAAAAACATGAGACTTTAGTCATACCAAGTGTATAAAAAAAAGTGTGATTTGAGGGTGTTGGTGAAGATTAAGGAATGGAAATGTTGCTTTGTAAATTTGTTAGAAAACTTAGGAGGAGAGGATTATAGTAACCTTTGAAACTAGAGAACATAAGTTTTATTGTCGAATAAGAAGTTTTAGGTGGAATTAGCACTGAAGAAGTTGAAATCAGTTAAGGCATTAGGACCATTGAAGCTTGGAAATGCTTAGGTAAGGAGGGGGTGTTTGATGAATATGTGACTACAATTAGATCATGTACAAGAGGAACTAGTGAATTTCTAACTACGCATTTTTGTTGAAGGAAATGATCTTCTACGTTTTCAGGCATCATATTATCAATTCTTTGACACAAAATTTGCTTGTTTCTATGTGCAGTTCTTTGACCGTAATCGTGGCAAAAGGGTACCTGTATAAGCTTAGATTTTTAAATCTATGAAAATGAGAGGAAGCTTCGTGCAGGTTGAACTGGTTGTAAGTGTTGTAAAATACTGTCAAACGAATGACTCCTTAACAGTGTGTCGGTGCAAAATGTTCTCATTTGATGATGTCAGTTTTGTTGAACAATTCTTTAGTTTGTTTGTTTCTTTAGTTGTCAATTAGTGCCAGCGGTACTTTACACCGCTTTCCGGTTGGATTCAAGCTATGTATTTCTATTCAGATTCCCATTTATTGGATTAGTATTTTTTTGGCTTCATGTTAATGTCCAGTTAATTACTCAAAGTATACTTACATGTGGTTGGTGATGGACTTTCTCATCGAAATCTTTGAGATTACAGTGTATCGGGAATTCTGAACCGAAGCTGAATTTTGGAAGTCTGATTCTTTTTAATGTATGCTGTACTTTATTTTCATATAGGAAATTCCTTTTATCTGAGAGCGTCATTTACCACAAAATTAGATAGTTTAATTTTCGGACATTTTATTCTCCATTCCCTATAGTTACACTCATCTTTGTTTTTTTTTAGTTCCCTGGAAGAAAAACAATGAAAGCGTTGTTCTCTTTTTTTGTGCAAAAACAGTTGTTGAAATTTGGAAAAACAACTTTTTGGTGTTTTCTAGATCGTTGGTTGTTTTCTGAAATTTTTCCGTAAATAGTTTTCAAAAACAATTCACCAAACAATTATTTTGTGTTCATAAAAAAACAAAAACAGAAAATGAAAACACATATCTTAGGAATTACTCTATCATCATGTAAGGTTGAATTATCATTAATTAATGCATTACTTGAAATATATATATGTATATATGAAGAGGAAAGAGAACTTGCATAAGCAAAACAATCAAGTTGCAAGTTCAAGAGAACTTGGAATCCAAGGCTATAGAAAGCAAGTTGATGATGCACAGAGCAATGTCACCCAACTGCATGAGACTGCAATTCTCCTCTGTCAATGGAGACACTTCTCCCTTCTCCCCAAACCCGTCCTCGCACGTCAACATTGTTTCCATCACTGCACTCAGAAGCAGACTAGCAGCATCGTACTCCTCGAACAAAAATGCTCCGATGGAATTGACCAACATAGGCACACTATCTCCATACAGTTCCAAGCAATCTTTTAAGCACTCAAGGGCAAAAGTATCGAACTGGCCACTGCTTAACATCTCTTCTATGCTTGAAATTGTGTCGGTGGCATTTTCAAGAGCTAGTTCCATGGCTATGAGTGCAAGTCCTTGGAGGTTCACAATGTGGCTGATGGGGATTGGTTGGAGAGAAGTTAAGCAGAAGTCATAGTTGATGAGGGTAGACTTGTCGGCACATTGTTTGCAGGTTGTGTTGATTAGATCAACAGATAGGGCATTAACGGGAGAGTAATTTTCATGCGGTATCAGGAGCAGGGGGAAGAAGAGGAAGCAAAAAGAGATGGTGAAGAAAGAGCAGTGAAACATTTTTCTTTTGAAAACTCGTTGGTCTTTCATTGGATGTTTGGTGGTGATTTGAGAATGTCCTATTTATTTGTATCTATGGGGTGGGAAGGACAAGGTGTTTCCTAGTGAAGGAAACTTCCTTGAAGATCATTGATGCTTGAGAGTCATGTAGGGTTTGATCAATCTCATTCATTCATGCCACTATGCTTGTCTTGTTTTTTTTAACAGAAGTAGCTCGACTATTAGGCTAGTTAGATTGTTGCCTAAAACTCAAGAAAAGTTTAAAAAATTCTTAAGAGTTCGTTTGGCAAGTGGCTTGTTTAGCTAAAAAGTCAAAAAGTTACTAAAAAAATTAAAAAGTCAAAAATTCATACCAAAAAGTCAAAAAAAAAATTTTCTCTGTACTTTTTGCACATCTTTTTGTAAAAAGTCAAAAAATCATTCCAAACATACTAGTTTTTTTTAGCTCATATTTTAGCCAAATAGTCAAAAAGTTACTAAATTAACTTATTCCCAAACGAGACCATTTTTTAAAGGCTTAGTTTGATAGGATCTTATTTTGATATTTCTAGAGCCTCCAACAATTTTAAATCTTTATTACTCTTTCACGCAATGATGAGATTTGAACTCAGATCTATCACACCCAGTAAATAGACACCTTAGGCCTCGTTTGGGAACTAGCCCGTTTAGCCAAAAAAGTCAAAAAGTTGCTAAAAAAGTCAAAAAGTCAACAACTCATACCAAAAAGTCAAAGATTCTCTTTTCTTTCTACTTTTTGCATATCTTTTTGTAAAAAGTCAAAAAGTCATCCCAAACATACTAGTTTTTTTTAGTTCATATTTTAGCTAAATAGCCAAAAAATTAAGTTAATCCCTTGATCTCTAGGCCAAAAGTTGTTCAGCATCTGGTGTTCAAGTTGGTTTTATATTGACTGCTATATTTTCATAGCAACCGAAAAAAAAAAACTTTAGAGCATAATTGTTTGTTTTTATAACCACTCTTGTGAGTATTTTTGAAGGAAAAAAAAAATGACATAAACACTAATTCTAATGTTTACTTTATATACATAGTATAAACAGATAGATAATAACCTTTTTTGATATACAAAATCCAAAAAAACAAAACATAAAAATAATTAGGACTTGTGAATGAATTAACATGATGGATGTGGAAACTGTACGAGCAAGAAATATTCTTCTCGTATAATCCTGTTGACCAAATCTGCACTCCTCCAAACGTCGTCGCTTTACTCCCTGAAAACACAAACGTGAGCTAGCCGGCGGGTGTGTGCCGGATACTTCTCCGATGCCTAAGTCAGCAAAATAGACAAATAGATAAAAGCTCTGTGAATTCGGGAATCAAAGTTGTGTTACCTTTCCATAGGTGATGTTGTGAGCTTTTATAGGTTCCGTGTGGCACAATCCTAGTAGGACTCTTATTTCTCCATGCAGAGTCCTCCTATGAATTATTCTCCTAAAAAATAATGCTTATCCTTCAACACCCCCCTCACTGCTTAAACCAAATGACATGGTCCTAGCTCGGTGGTATGTCCAAACGACCGAGCTAGTATTGCTATGGCACAATGACAATGTAACCAAGCTAACAATACTCATGTTACATTTATCCCGACGCTTTATGTGTAGCACGTACCTCGGCTTCGCCTGTAGACCGTGCTAACCATAGCGCACTTGGACCGAGCTACTCAACAGCAAGGTCCTGAGTAGAAGCCAAAAAATACCTCGACTCAAGATGGTTTAACCGAGCTAACTGTCACCGCGCCGACCGTGGTGACCGAGCTAACCACCAAGCTCTTTCAGACTGGGCTATCTGCAAGGCTCCTCTGGACCGGACTAATTACATGGTCCCTTTTACTCAGCCCTTCTTACTGTGGCCCACAGAATGGCTCATTACCCAACTCGGCCCAATTTACATATAAATTACCCTCTCAATTGCCCTTTAATTCTATCTGCGCAGCATGATAGGGATTACTTGTTACCAGCCGAGCTAAAATGCTTTAGCCTTCCAACCGAGCTAAAAAACTTTAGCCCTCCAACCGAGCTAAATTCACATCGTGCTACCAATCTGTCCGGTCAAAACGTCTCTTCAGTCTCTAGCTGAATCAATTTCCATTCCAATGACACATGGCAGACTCTGATTAGCCCAATGCAGTTGTCACGCCGTCTTCGTACTCCGCGTTTATTGAACAGTCCCGCCTTTTTGTCCTTCCCTTTACACAAAACAAACCCTTCGTTTTGAATCATACACTTCACTATTCATTTCCTTCTTTCTCTCTCTCTGAGCCTCCATCTCTTCCCAACCTAGCATTTGCAGAGCTCGTGTTTGTTGCTGCTACTACCTTCGTCTTCAGTGCTTTCACCTCGAACTGGTAAGTGGTTTGAATCTTCTTCATTTCTGTTGATTTCGCACTTCTTTTGCAACACAAAGCATGTTTTATTTGTATGTTTTTCAAAGCACATCCTACTTTTGCTTCCATATTTCTGGGAAAAACCACGCAATAGAACCACTTGATTTTTCGAATAATCTGAAAAATACTGTATTTGATCCAAAATCACACATCAACCGAACTAGGATACTGTTTGTATTAGATGCAAGCCTAGCCACACCCAACAACCGCACTAAAACTTCACTCCATACTTGCGGTTTCCATAGGTTAGGGACCTTTTGTTTCTTTTAACCAAGCTATCGAACCATACTAGGTTTGCGCAATACCACGCTAGTAAGCTTCAACCACTGACCGAGCTAAAACTTGGGGCTAAACCAACTCCCTTAGTTCAAACCGAACTAAGAATGCTCCCCCAAAGGCTCCACCAGGCTAAAGCCCCTTGCTTAAACCGAGCTAAGACTGGATAGCATCCCATGTAGCCGAGCTAGGACTTCTTTTATCTTGCCTATGTTTCTTGTAGCACGCTTCCACGATCTGAGCTTAACATCTTTCTTTTTCACTTTGCAGACTTAAGTCGGCCAGGCACTCTCTTGAACGCTTCAGCCGAGATACTCCATACCATCTCAACACCGAGCTAACACTTGTCAATAATTTATTCATAATTTAATAGTAAATGGGTAAATATAGGTTTTTAGTAAACTCACCAGGGGCCATAGCCGAGTTCCGAAGGGACTACCATATCCCTGATGATGTCCATCCTACCTTGGCCGACCTAGATACCATACCTTGGGGAAACCCTGGCTTTGTTCCCTTTACACTTCTTTCCATTATAGAAACCGACCTAAGATTCCTCGTACAACCCCTTCTTTGTGAATTCCTTAGACAAACAAACCTTTGCACTACTCAACTTTCTACCAATTCTTACCGCATAATAAACGGCATTGCCGAGCTAAACCGCCGGGCTGGCCTTAATCTCGGTCTAGCTGAGCTCTTTCACCAATACTCCATAGGATCGGCTGAAGATGACTGGGTTTACTATTTAAGAATAAGACGCCGTCGTGAAAAGATAATAAAAAAAAACCCAAATAAAGATGTGAATGATGATGATTTCTTCTGGGTATCTGGGAACTTTGAGGACCAACAAGCCCCGATCTCGGGCGACAGAATAAATTAGAACAATGGTGTAGCCGGTAGGATTACCTCGGCTCAATTCCATGTTTTCTTTTACCTCGGTTTTCTTATGTTGAACCGCACTGACTGTTGTCTTCTTTTCTTCATGCAGATTTGAACTTTCTCAAGTCCTAGTACAGCTACCCCAACCTGAACACACTTCGCGCCGCACTCCGATATCCAAGCAGGAACTAGGCTGAGCTACTGAATTTTGAACCGACCTACCGATATAGTAGTCGTAGGAAGACCAGGGTGACCGATTTCCTCTTAGAGCCATCCCCAGAACCTGATCCTTCCCTTCCACAAATCAACTTGATCCCATTGACTACGGAGCAAGAGATGGCTAAGAGAAGAGCAGTAAGGGCCCTTCTAACCGAAACATACCAGGCCGAGGTACCACCAACTAGCCAACCTCAAGAGACCGTGGTAGCCGTGCCAACCCATCAGCCTTTAATATCTCGACTAAGCAAGCGTGCTCGGATTTTCATAACCGAGCCACGCCTCGTTGATGAAGAAGACACCATTCTCCCACAATCTACTCCACCAAGCCCACAACCGGAGCGCTCAGACCGAGCTAGCTCCTCCAAGTGGGTGCCAAAGGTCACCTTCAGGAACCGCGCTATCCCTGACTCCGATTCAGTGGTCGCGGAAAAAGATCATTTACTGGCCTTCAATCTGGCCAAGAGCGTCTGCCTTCCAGTCGACATAGATCATCACGATCACCTTACCGAGCTGAAGGCCATTCGCTCGGTTTCAAAGTCAATGGTGTTGGTAAGTTCTCTTTTTCATTCTCCAGATTTCAACATCTTTTAGCTCGGTTCCTACTTAATACTACCTCCTTCCCCTCGCAGGCCTTACAGAAGAACCAGATTACTTACAAACGGGTGATAGAACTTCGAAAAACTACAAGGCAAGCCATGGCAGAGGCCAACGAAAGAACGGCCAAACTAAAAGAATCTCAGCAAAAGTTGGCCGAGCTAACAGCTGAAGTAGCCCGGCTCACTGGCCTAGTCAATTCAGTCGAGGCTGATAAAAAGAAGGTTGCGACCGTGGTGAAAGATAAGTACTTGCGTGAGCTGGCCAAGCTCGAGGGAAAAAAGAACGCCGAGATAACCGAGCTAGGGAAGAAGGTTAAGGACGCGGAAGACCGCGGTTTCAAGGAGGGGGAAGCCACTTATATCAAGCAATGTGAGGCTGCAAAAGATCTTTTCTTCAAGTATGGATGGGCGGCGGCTATGGCGCAGCTCGATCATAGCCCAGAGACCGAGGTCTTCAACCCTCCTCCGTATTTCATACCGAGCTCTATGGCGGAGTACGCTACCGCCATTCAGCAAAAATTTCTGAAAGAGAATGACGAAGATGCCGCTCTAGAAGACAACACCCAGCCCGGTCGCCAGTGTATCTCCCCAACTCCAGTGGTCTTCATCCCTCCTTTGCCTGCTGTGTTTGATGTGGTGCCTCCAACTGAGCTGAACCAACAGGTGCTTGCAACAACCGAGCT